TTCCCACTTAATTAACTCCCCTAATTACCTTCTATCTTCACCCTAATTAACTTCCTCTCCATTCTCACTCAATAATCCAAAAGATTATACTCAATCAATTGAACACAAATTCTCAATTATTCAAGTAATGTTTCACACTTTCCTTTTAATTCATTGTTTATTGTATTTGTATACAAGTTTTAATTGAACACAATAAACATAATTAGGGTGTAAATTAGGGATTCGGATTAGGGTTTATGGGTTCAAATAAATTTGGGGGTTTTGATTTCTAGGATTTAGGGGTTTAATTGAGTTCTAGGTTTCACTTATTTTGACTTTGAGATTGAATTCAATTGCACTTTAATTACTAATTGGCCATTGCAGTTGGTAGGATATCTAATTGACCATTGTAATTGATAGGATGCCTAAATTTGGGGGTTTTAATTTCTAGGGTTTAGGGGAAGTTAATTAGGGAAGAGGGAGAAGGTAATTAGGGGAGGTTAATTAGAGAATATGGAGAATGTAATTAGGGGAAGTTAATTAAGGAAGAGAGAGAAGGTAATTAGGGGAGTTAATTAAGTGGGAAAAGTGAAAAAGTAGACCCCATTAACGTTTTTTTGGACGGAAAACGTTAATGGGTAGTGTTATCCAAACTTTTTTTATATTCTAGGTACTTCTTAACAAATAAAAAATTAAATAAAAAAAACGGGTAGTTCTTCACAAATAACCCTATCTTTAGGATAGTTACGGACAAAATTTCCTTTTTTAACACCCTTTTTGTTCTTTCACGGAGTAATTTTATAATTGGGGAGAACTAAATGTAGGATAATTTTACCTAAATGCAGAATAAGTTATTTTTTTAAAAAAAATTATGTTCCAATTTTGTCCTTGTTTTAACTTAATCTTTTACACTTATTTTAAATGATTAAAATTAAATCATGTACACTCATAACTATATAATCATCCCAACTGTTTAATTTAAATTACAACCATATTCTAACGTATTCAATCTTGTATCCTATTTAATACGGATAATACTACTATACAAATTCATAGACAATAATGAAGTGCACTACGACATTTTTTTGAGGTATGAAAATTATGTGATGTAATAGATGAACAATCGAACAACATAAAATTTCCATCTTATACGACTAATATTTTTGAAGGTCTCTAGCATCCCCCATTCTCCCTTATACAATTTCCGGGGGCCTCAAGAACCCCCCAGCTAGGATTTTCGGAGGTCTCAAGAACCCCCCGGCTAGGATTTCTGGGGGTCTCCAATACCCCCCCGGCTATGATTTCCAGGGGTCTCCAATACCCCTCGGCTAAGCTTTCCGGGGGCCTTCAGTACCCCCCGGCTAAGATTTCCGGGGGTCTCTAGTACCCCCGAAAAATAAAGTCGGGGTACTTATAATGAAAAATTATAACATTTCAACAAAAAAATTAAACGAAAAAAAACCTAAGACCGGATGGTTTATGAGCGGTGAACGACTTCTTCGTCTCTAGGGCTCAGATTGAAGAATTTTAAGGGAAATGGTGGAATGAAATGAATTGCAAAAAAAAAAAAAAAAAAAAAATGATGACTGAAATTGTGAATGAAATGAAAAAATCGGCGAGTATAATGAATTGCAAAATAAAATTGTAAAAACAAAAAGCCTGATGAAATGACAAATCAGTTTTTTCATTTTGGAAAGGGGTATTTTAGTCATTTTATTATTTTAATATCATTAATTAATTTCTACATTTAGATTATTTTGTACTGCATTTAGTACTTGCGTTATTTGGTGTTGGGAAACCAGAAAGATGGAAACAGAGCGGATGGGGAAGAACATGAAAAATCCTTTGGAGAGAGAGGGGTCTGATCGAATGGAGAAGAAGCTCAAGAGTGAGGTTGATTCTCAGATGATGAACATACACTGGTTCTTATCTTTTTTTAAGGGTTTATCTATTAATTCTGCAATTTCATTTTGAAATTTAATATTTCGTTTTTAAATCCTAATACTTTTAACTCTAATTCAACTAATTGAGCAGTGAAGATGACAATGATATATACTATGGCGATGATTCTTATTCTTATCATTCTAGCGATGCTCATCATGATGATCTTGATGATACCGCCTGGTGTATGTATGTTTATTTGCAAACTACTTTTTCAATTTTTTATTTACAACCCCTTCAATTTCGAATCTTATTGGGGCCTGAATTATTTGCAGTGGAGATATTCAGATAGATGAAGAAGATTTAAACGTTGACCCAGAAATTATATTACAAGGGTGCGTTTTTTCATATCATTTTTACAATTAATTTCAATTTAACGATTATTGAAATATAATAAGAAAATATTGGTGTATCATTGTTTGCAAAATTTATTTGTTGTATACAATTACCATCAAATTAGGGTTATAGTAGTGGCAATTGCGGTAGAACTAGCATCAAGAACTATGACAAGATTTCTTGATGCTTTATCGATTTGATTTAGGAAGTATGGCCTTAAAAATTTGATAATCTTTTCCATGTATATCTTATGTGAGCTTTATGATTATGAGTATGTGAGATGTATTAAAACATCTGCGGCATTCTCACAATGCTTTGGGATTCATATGATCTTTGTTGCCTATCTACAAGGTGATAATTCTGATGGATAACTTTTTTCGGTTCATCTGGCTACCGGTGATCCACCCAAGGTTCTTGATTGTCGTATTTTGAGTCCTATAGATGCACAATCTATGCGTACTGGTGATTCATTTATCTCCGTACTTTGTTACTAAATTGTATCGTATTTCTTCACTAGCATAATTTGTTATTCTATTGTATTTTGCTTGTTTAGGTAGACCTGTTTTCATGGGTGAAAGAGTTCCATTGAAAAAAAAGGATATAGCTTGTCGCTATTGTGCTCAAGAATTCAACCAGAACAAGAATGTGAATTTCGGTGCTACAATATGATAATAGATTCAGTAGATTGGCCCTCTTGGTTTAGAACTTTATGTAACGTTATATGACTATTTGGAGGTATCTTGGTATTAGAATTCTGCTGCTACTATCTGATCATAGATTCAGTAGATTGGTCTCGTGCTTTAGAACTTTATGTACTCCGTAATGCTATATGACTAGTTAGAGGTATCCGGAAATTTGCAACATATTATTTTAGAGTTTTACTACCTGTATTATCTAATTCAGGCTTCTATTTCAAATGTATGGCACATTTCCAGCCTCAATGAACTCTGGTGTTTTACTTGTTCTAAGGCAATACATAATCTTTATGTTGTTTTGATTTTCTGGGGAAACAATCGAGTAGCTAGCCTAGTTGGCCCTCGAATCTGTGACTTCGATGGCAATTCCCTTGCTAAGAGTATCTTGGGTTGTGTATGATTTCTCTGTTGATGTGATCATGTCATCATGAAAAGCCTGACCTGAGGGAGTGAGGGTTGGTTGCAAAGAGAAGGGAAATGAACAAGAAATGAACAGTAGCCTAACCTGGGATTCTGGAAATACCAGGATTGGGCAGAAATTTCTGGGCTGATAATCATTTTTAAATAAATTTGGGCTTTGGATAGCCCTTACTCCCTCTTAGCCCACAACTAAACTATGTTTAAATTCAGACTAAAAACTCACTTCCAGCCCAAATTAGTTGGCTATCATGTCTCGAATACAAGCTTTGGCCCTTTTAACCTGGCTCGGGTCTGGTCAGTCAATTTCAGATCGGGTCAAACATAGCTTCTTTCCTTTTTTTTTTTTTTAAAAAAAAAATAATAATAAAGGGAAACATGACTTCACTTTTTGGGAAAAAAAAATACTGTTTTGAAAAAATATTTCGTAGGTTGGGAAAAAAGGAAAATTACACTGTAAAAATCTTTATTTTGTTCGATTTACTTTGAATTATCTCAACTTTTGTTATTTTGTAATAATCTTTCTTCAATATCTAAAACCAACAACAAAATAAAAACAACTATAAAAAAAAAAGATGAAACACCCTTCCCTTTACCAGCCTCACCGGTAAACCCCCCTACTAGCCCCATCTCCTCTTCCCTACCCCCTAACCCAGCCAACAACCACTACCAACTCTATGTCTGGCCCACCCAAGGATTCCGACACCCTCCACTTCCATGTTTACTTTCTCTCTCCCTTCCTTATCCTAAATCAAATGCTCCTTCATGGCTCCACCACTAGGGCGATTTAGGGCAGTTTTGGGGTTGGGTTTCAGGTGGGTTTAAGGAGGTTTTTGGGGTGGTGGTTTGATTTTGGGGTGGGTTTAAGGTGGTTTTGGGTGGTCTCGGACTAAGATTTCAAATTTGGGGTAGTTTCGGGGGCAGGGTTAGGGAGGGGGGGGGATGTTTCGGTAAAGTGGATGTGGAAGGAGGATGAGGGTGGGTAAGGCCGTAAAGGAGGTGGTTGTTCGGCTAGGTTGTTTAATTTTGATTTTTTGCCGACACGTGTTAAGTAACCTAAAATATTAAGTTGTAACTTTTGTTGACTGGTTTGGGATTGTTGGAAGAAAAAAAAGGGTAAAAGTTGAGATTATTGCAGAATAATTAAAAGTTAGAACTATTCAAAGTAAATCAAACAAAGTTGAGACTATTAAAGTGTACTCCTATCTCTATCTCTTCTCTTCTAAAAAATTCGTTTACTATTTTTTTTTTCTTCTTTTATGTTACCAACCACTCGGTATGACACAAAATCAAAGTGAAAGAATTCCCAGAATATGGCTAGCTAATGCTTGGGAAAATACAAGTTAATCTGTCAGATAAACGAATTTTTGTTAATATGATGACGTTTTTGTAAATATATTGAAAAAGTAAGGTGCTATCCAATTACTATTTGCCTTTTGTTTTTATTGTTTGATGAGGAAATTACACATGTACCCCTCAACTAGTGCGTGAAAAGACGCATATATCCCTCTATTGATACTTGAAAAGACAATTATACCCCTAGATAAACAAAATTTTGTTTATATGGGGAATCAACTAGTATAGCTCCTATTGCTTGCGTTAACCAATCTAATATTTTCATAAAATAATTTAAAGTACTTTTATTAGAGTTTGAACTCTTACCAATTAGAACAAATTTAGAACTCAATTAAGATTTCAACATTATTTTTGGAAACCTTTCTAAAAATGAAACAATCTCATACCAAATTTGACCTCAAAAAAACATGGCTGCTTCTCCCAAACCTCATTCCACTAAACGCCGCACCACCAAACGCAAAACTCCATCAACCACCACCATCACCGCCCTTTCTCCTCTAATCTCCGCCATTACAGCTGCTCTTTCATCCTCTCACTCTTTCCTCCATAACAACGATCTTCAACTTCTTCCTTCTCAATCTCTCTCTCTTCAATCTTCTCTCTCTTCTGCCTTCCTTTCTCTCTCTAAACTCCAACCCAATTTACAGCTCCCTCTTTCTCTCTCTTCCTGCTGTTGGTTTCAGCGTTTTCTCCTTTCTTCCACCTGTGATGACGATCCAAGGTGGGTTGATTTCTTCCGTATGTCAAAACCCACTTTTTATCGCCTCAATTCCATGCTTTCTGACTCGATTTCATCTGTTCTTAGTTTGCCGATTTCTTCTGATTATGCACTTGGGGCTGCTATTTATAGGCTCGCGCATAATGGGTCGTTTTCAATTGTGGGAAAACGATTTGGGTTAAGCTCGAATGATGCTTGTAGGGTTTTTTATGCTGTTTGTAAGGTGATTTGTGATCAATTGGGGGGTTATTTGGGTGGATTTAGGTCGGAATTAGGGAGAATTTTGGTGGGGTTTGAGCGGATTTCGTTGATTAATTGTTGTGGGGTTTTAGGGGTTGAGAAATTCCCAATAGAAGGTGAGATTTTGGGGAAAGATGGGTTTTTGATGGTTCAAGCTTTGGTTGATTGTGATGGGAGATTCTTGGATGTTTCTGCTGGTTGGCCTAGTACATTCGATCCCGATTCGATTTTACGACAAACAAGATTGTTTTTGAGTGTGGAGGAATCTAAAGAGCTGTTGAATGGTCCTGAAGTTGAGCTAATTGATGGGAATTTGATGCCTCAGTATATATTGGGTGATTCTTGTTATCCTTGTTTGCCATGGCTTTTGACTCCTTTTGTGAGCAGGGGTGAGGCAGAGGATTCGACCTCGAGCGAAAAGGAGTTCAATGAGGTGCATAAGAGAGCAATGGAGTTAGTAAGGATGGCATTTGGGAGGGTTAGAGCTAATTGGAAGTTGCTAAATAGGAGGTGGAAGGAGGAGTTTGTTGAATTCTTGCCTTTTATTGTCATCACTGCCTGTGTGCTGAATAATTTTTTGATGAAGCATGGAGAAATATCAAGTGATGATGATTCGGGTTGTGTTCGAGAGCAGGATATGCCGGTTTATGATGGGGAGGTCGATGAAGGTGCTGCAAGGATTAGGGATTTGCTGGCATTGCATCTTAGCCAGGTAAAACAAGATAACTGAATGTTTCTTATTTGAAAAACACTTAATTTAACTAGATGATGATATGTTTAGGCGTTTAGCCCTTGTAGAATTGGAATATTATTTGTTTAATTCGATTAGTATCATTGTAACTCAATGTGAGTTGATGATAATTTCATTGATCTTTGGTCAATCTTGTTGAAGTTTAAATAAGAAAAATGCCACATGTTATACCTATAAAAGCTAATTATATGAGTGTCATAAATCTGGTATCAAAATCAAGTTCTGATTGTATCTGCTGGCTGGCGGTTAGCCTAGCTCCCTATCCCATACTGGTTTAATGATTTCAAATCAAACAGGGCTGTTCTTAGGGTTGTTACAGGAGTTAAAATTCAATAATGAGCATTAGAGGGCATACCATATATTTGCATGATGTTAGATATTGTCAAAGAACTTGTTTTTTCTTATGTGGAGTATCTTTTGGTGGTAGCAGAGTTAGATTTTAATGAAACACTATGAAGTGCTATCAGGGAAAAAAATTTGGGATACCCCAATATGTAGTAGTGACCCTCAAAATGTAGGACTGAGAGTCTAAGATAAGAACCCATCTCGTGTGTGTGGAGGTTTGAGCTTGAGCCTAGAGGTAAAAAGCCAAGGGAGTAGCAGATGGTTAGCATGATGTTAGATATTGTCAAAGAACTTATTTTTTCGTATGTGAAGTAACTTTTGGTGGTAGCAGAGTTAGATTTAAATGAAACACTATTAAGTGCTATAAGGGAAAGAAATTTGGGATGCCTCAATATGTAGTAACGAACTAACGACCCTCAAAATGTAGGGACTGAGAGTCTAAAATAAAGAAAATCTTTACCCATCCCGTATGTGTGGAGGTTTGAGCTTGAGCCTAGAGGTAAAAAGCCAAGGGAGTAGCAGATTGTTAGAATTATAAAAATCCTCTATGAGTACTCGTTTGAATGCCTGATAAAGACTGAAATTCATGAACCTAAAAGGCTAAAACCCATTCTTATGCTATAGTCTGTGAAAGTCCTATCACTTGAGGTCCCATCTTCTTGCTCCTTGTGTTGTAGATATATACCATCTTGGTCCTAATTTTGAGGTAATTAATTACCTAGTGTTTAGAATATGGATGGTGATTATATTGTGACTTTGCTTGAAAATTTTGTGTGGGAACTGGGAAGGGTAAAATCAGGGTATCATGTGAAAGTTGATAAACTGAAGTCATTAATAATTCCTTGTCACTTAGCTGAAAGTTTCTTAGGTGAGAGAAATTGGTGACTAGGTTGATACTCTTTGTCTCTTCTAAGGATCTATTAGGTGGAAGTGAGGTTTATTATGCCAACTGCTAACTGTTTTGTTGCCATGTGAAGTCTAAATTCAGTTAAGTGATTTGATTAGAGTTAACTTAATTGCCTCTATTAAGAACAAAATGCCTTTATCTTTTTGATGAAAAAGGATGAGTGTTCAAGGTTAAACCAATGAAACATTCTCACACCAGAGCCTTAAGCACATGTTAAACAGAGCTTTAAGCACATATCTAAAGATACAGAGGAAGTAAGTTGCTTGAAGGTCATGTTAAACAGAGCCTTTAGCACATATCTTAATTTACCTTTGTTCACTCCCTAAAGGACATAAAATGGGTGCTAGTACTATGTTGTATACAAGTTCTTAAGGAATAAATTTTTTGTTGATTTTTCAGCTAAACTTTTAATTCTTTCCTCTCTCTCAAAAACAAATTCAAGTTGGTTTATGAATAAATGAGTTATTGTGAGTCATCAATAGAAGATTGGCATTATAGAGTACTTCAATCATATACTCGGTACTCCACTCAATCTTATTGTTTAGATGGAGAACTAATGGTGTTTGAACTTTAAAGAGATCGCACTGTTCTATTGAGATTGTTGTTTGATAGGGAGCAATTGGTTAGAATCAGCACTCCTAAGCTAGGAAAAAGCATGTCATCTCTCATCTGCAATGTTTCTAGGGAACTTTTTTTGGTTCTGATGTAGATACCTCATGAAATAGAAGCTAGAAAAAAGGAAGGAAATTCTATTTAAAAGATGTCCTCTGGCCTATATATAAAAAAAAATGATAAGCTTATAAATATAATGATTAAGCTAGAGGTGGTGGGTATGCTTCACTGAGTTAGTTGGTTTTTTTTTTTGAAGGATTTGCGGTTAATGTACAACAGTACAAGAACAATGCATTGATGTCTTCTAAAAATCATAAGCCTCTAGGCAAGGTGGATTTTAGTTCTTGTGACTTGATTTTATTAAGGAAATAATACCAACTTTTCATAGATAACTAGTTTTTTGGGCCCGGGCTACCCCGGGTTAATACATGGGGTTGATCATTAATATACACTAGGTTAATTCCCGTGCCATGCACGGTCATAATTAAATTTTACAATAAATAAATATGGTGTTAATTCAACAATAATTTATCCAAAAAATTTATTTGTAACAAAATAATTTAATTTAAATGTAAAGATTATTGAATTGGATTGTATAAAAAAAAATAGTAATAGAAACTTAGAAGATTTAACGTTTTGTATAAGAAAATTAAATTATTAGTTTAGGTAATTAGGTTAGTACCTATATACGAACTCATATACATTTGTCCTTAAATTTTTGACACACTTTGATCGGCATAATATGAAAATTTATTTGAGTTCATTTTACTTTAGGATAAAGTATTCCGTAATCAACTTTTTAAATATATTTTAGTCTGCGGATAATTAGAACAATTAGATTTAATTTTCCAATATATGTTATGTACGAAGTATACTATAACAAAATTATTTTGTTCTTATAAACGTTATGTATAGTTTTAAGATTAATACTCCGTAAAAAGTATGCTACCAAAATGATTTTTCTTAAAAAAATTGATATTGATAATATTATAATAATCTTGGAAAACAATATATTCCAATACCTTAGTTTTTTAAAGCTATGTTAGTATTTTTGTAATTAAAAGACCCCATCGTCTCTACCCCGTAGGAACTACGAGATAAGAAATCACGGAGCCACCCATTAATAGTAATAGAACTTTGCGCAGCCTTTCTATTTCAAAGCGAGACCACCTAATTCAAGAAAGGCCAAGAGCAGTTGATGAAAGATAGGAACCTGCTCCCATTTCGAGTCTAGAGAAAAAATTGCAAGTTCTTCCTAAGAAAGGATTTTCAGTCCTCCAGAAAGAATTTGAAGATCCTTTTGCAAACCACTGAAAGACTCTACTGAGACAAAACAAAGATGGGCTGTCAAGAACGTAGAGGAGGTAGGATGGGCAGTTGGTCAGATCTAGTATGGATCGTACATGGACAGTAGTTGGAGTCGGCGGCTCTCCTAGGGTTCCCTAATCTTGGATCCTGGGGAAGAGGATCAAGTTGGCCCTTGCGAACAACTTGATGCACTATCTCCCTTCAACACGAACCCCCTGCGGTGGAGCCCGCCCCAATGCCGGCGCCCTTATGGACGGACGACGTCCGCCGAGCGGCGCTACGGGATCGGCTGACCGTGCCTAGTGCGCTTGGAAATCGAACCCAAATGAGTGATAATTTACAACTTGTCAGAAACAAGAGAAAGAAAAAAATCTTATTTTTTATTGATATTTACTCTATGTTCCCTATGGTAACTGGGTTCATCAATTATGGTCAACAAACAATACGGGCAGCAAGGTACATCGGTCGGCCCAGCAGAGTGCTTTCGCCGTTGGTGTTCTTTCCGATCTCTACGCATTTCACCGCTCCACCGGAAATTAGTTTCCTAGTATATATAGAATATATGTAAAAATTTTAATTGAGTAATATTGGATTAAATATGTTGTCCAAAAGGAAATGACTATTATTATAAGTTATAAAGTATATAGATGTCATTAAAATATGGCAAAAAAATAAAAAAAGAAAGGAAAAAAAAAAGGCGGGAAAATTTTTAACCAGGAAGTCATTTCTGGTTTCGCCTTTAGTATAAGTTATTTTAATTTATAAATCAATTTTCTTGTAATTAAATTTGTTGTTCATATTGAATTGTGATTTGTTACATATTAATATTTTGTATTCAAAAGAATATACTACCTCCGTTTCATATTATTTGCAACGATTAGACATTTTCCTCTCTACTTTATGTCAAATCATTGCAAATAATATGTAATGGAGGTAGTATAAAAATTAACTTAGCTTGGTGGTAAAACAATTAGTTTTAGAGTTAAAGGTTGCGTGTTCAAATCTTGTGGAGAACTCTTTTTTATTTATTTATTTATTATAAGTGCATGACGTGGCGTGGACGTTCTTAGGAACACCTTGTGCATGACGTGGCGTAATGAGGGGAGTCTACGTGACAAGTGGACGTTTTTATAAACGCCTTTTAATATATTAGTATAGATTTCTAAGAGAGAGAGTAGATAAACAAGCGGAACATGCATCCATAGTCATATAAATTATACAGTCATCAAAGACAACAAGCGAGGCACCATACGATCATACATTATCACATTCACAAGTGACGAAGAAACCTTCACATCAAGAACCTCATGATCATCAAACACGCCTTGCTCTCCTTAGCTTTCTTATGTTGTCCTCGAAGAAGTAGTAGCTGTAAAGGATGCATGCTTTAGCAAGGTAAAACCATGCATTCCACCAATGAGGATTAATCAGCATAATTATGACAACCGCAAGAAACATAGTCACACCAGATCCCGTGAAGGTGATATAAAAGGCTTCCATGTCAATCCAGCCACTGTCTTCATCTTGGGATTCACTTGTACTCGTGGAGGGCGTATCATCTGTAGTGCAGTTGATGGGAAAAGGAAGCCCACAAAGGAATGGATTGCCTTTGTAACTGGTGGCATCAAAGGTGGATGACTGAGCTTGAAATGGGATCTTCCCTGACAGGTTGTTGTAGCTGACGTTAAAGACCTCCAGAGTATTCAAATTTGTAGCTTCAGCTGGAATCCTTCCATTCAAGTGATTGAAGGATAAATCTAAACTCTCGATGTTCTTCAAGTTTGAAAAAGACGATGGAATGACACCCCACAATTGGTTATGAGATAAATTCAATGTCTGGATGTTGCTCAAATTACCAAGCTCATGTGGTATGTGGCCTGTTAATTTGTTGCAAGACAAATCTATTCCATACATGTAAAGAAGGATGTTAGTCATGTTACCTTCGTAATTGTAAGCCATGTTCTTTGTCACAAACTCTGCCTTGCTGTAAATAATATTGTGAGCTGAATCTAATTTCATCGAAATCAATTCTCCCACTCTGCCATCATTTATTAACTCAAAGTCCATACCAATATCAACATAAGGACTTCCACCACCGTACCTACTAGTAAATAATTGAGATAGGCAAGTGGGAATAGAGCCATATAAATTATTGGAGGAAAGATCCAACAAACGCAACTCAACTAAGCACAATTGAAAGGGTATTTGACCGTTAAACTGATTACCTCTCAAGAATAGAGCTTGCAATTGAGTGAGATTATTGATTGCAGCAGGAATTCGACCTCTCAGGTCATTATTACTGAGATCCAAGCGAGACAACCTTGAGAAACTGTTACAAAATGCATCTGTCACATGACCACTCAATCTATTATCGTTTAACCTGAGAGTTTGGATATTGGAGCTGAAATTTTTTGGCAAAAGTCCATTCAATCTGTTATATGATAGGTCCAAGTTCTGTAGTCGGGAAGAATTGTATATGTCATTAGGAATATGACCTTCTAGTGAATTATTACTTAGATTGAGAAACTCTAAGCTTGGACCAAACTTGTTCTTTTGGAGGCCACTTGAATATTTATTACCTTTAATTTAAGATTTAATAGAAACCTAAAATATGTCTAATGTATATGTGGATTTATAGTTTATGAAAATCTATTAGTTGTTTTTTTGATTGCTGGTTTTCATTGTGTAGTTTAATTTTGGAACTCATTATTTATGTTTGGTATATATTTGAGATTATTATCCTAGTAAGTAATGATAAAATATACGGAGTACTTAAAAAAGAGTTGAGGACTTGAGGTCACTGTACCATTATAATTGGTGAATCCAGTGATAGCATTGTAACTTAAATCCAACATTTCCAAATTCCTTAGCTGACGCAAATTCCTTAGATGACAAGTTTGTAGAACCTGCATATTATTATATCAGTATGACTATATGAGTGTGTATATATACTACTATATAGTTCCATGATACCAAAAGTGTGTTACCGTACCATTATAATTAGTGATGCCAGTGATCAAATTATTGGACTTGAGGTCACTGTACCATTATAGTTGCTGACTCCATTGATATTATTTTCACTTAAATCCAGCACTTCCAAATTCCTTAGTTGATGCAAAGCTGTTATGCAAATCTTAAATCAGTTATTAATTGTTTTATAAAAACAAAGGTGATTAGCTACTTGCATGCTTACCGTTTATTGGAACATTTCCGCTCAGTTGGCTGTGTCTCAAATATAGAGTGTGGAGTGATTGGAACCCACTTAGTTGGCTAATGATGTTGTTATCCAACGTAGTATATGACAAATCCAGTACCTTTAGGCTTGATGATAAGTTTGTAGAACCTGCATGTTATTATATCATTGTGAGTGTATAGTATATAGTTATATTAGACCAAGTACACGAATAATACCAAAAGTGTGTTACCATACCATTACAATTAGTGATGCCAGTGATCGAATTACCAGATATATATATTTAATCAAATAAGTACATAAATTATTACTCATAAATTTACAACTAGCTGAAAAACTAGTTCCGTGCTTACCTTTTAATGGAACAACTCCTCTCAGTTGGTTGGCTCTCAAATTTAGAGTGTGGAGTGATTGGAATCCAGATAGTTGGCTAATGATGTTGTTATCCAACATATTCTGTGATAGATCCAATACCTTAAGACTTGATGACAACTTTGTAGAACCTATATAATATTACATCGTTATTAGTGTATAATTGTAGTTGCAGCAGATCAAATATAATGCATGCAGTATTAATTGTGAGTTAATTAACTCTGCCTCTTTGTAGACAATAAAAATTAAAAATTAATTAAAATAAAACAAAATTTATTTTGTTATATTGGTCAAGTATGCCAAGTAGGAAATTACTGCTTTTGCGGCATTTTGGTGTCAAAACAAGGTTTCAATGCTATACCGTATACGGAGTACAAAACAGCAACTAATGTAAATTTTCCAACTATCACTAGCATTAATGGGAATAATTTTTATTCAAACTAAAAAATATGGGAATAACTTACCATTATTATTTTGGAAGCCAGTAATTTCAGTACCTCTTAGACCCAACTCTTCTAAATTTTGACTAATGGCCTCAATATCTGCTTCATCTCAAGAAATAATATATAATTAGGTATGTAAATTTAAAAAATATAACAGTTTTAGATTCAAATATTTAAGAAATAGATAGACATAAGCTTTACCATGTAGTTGTAATCCCTCCAAATTGTTCTCGTCTAGAAATAGATATTTGAGTGACAAAAATCCATGTAATTGTGATAAGCTACTCGCATCAAAATTATTGTATTGTAAATTTAGTGACTCAAGACTTTTAAGCTTGGATGACAACTTTGACGCACCTATTTCAAATTGAAACAAATTCAAAAGTGATAAGAGTATAAAACATATTCCTAGATCTCAACATTGTAATTTAGTCAAGAATCTAGTCATCTAACAATACATAATGATAATATAAATAGTGTTGAAGTCTAATGCATTACCTTTATCCTCATCCCAACTTTTAATGCCCATGGAAGTGAGATTAAGCTCTCGAAGTTCCTCAAAAGGATGTAATACAGAAGCATTAAAATGCATTTCAGATAAGTGACCTAGGTTTGGACTCTCTAGAGAGAGAGATACTACTCGAGAATTGAGTCCACATGTAACACCTTCCCAATCATCACAACAATTGCTTGTTTTATCTTCCTTCCAGGATTCCAAGTAGTCTAACAACCATACTGATCGAAATATGAAGGGAAGTTGGTCGCCCACGTTTTTTTTAAGCTGTAAAAGAGCAGCTTTTTCTTGCTCCAAACACCCATTAACTTCAACCCAAATACCCAATACCGTCATTATCCATAACCACTTAATTACACCTTTCATTTTTTTTTTTTTTTTTTTTTTTTTTTTTGCTAACTTTATATTAAAATAAAAATATAAGTTTTAGATTTTGTAATTTTTATAATATATACTAAAATATTTTATTCATATAAAGTTCCGGAATTCCCAAAGTGCCATTTTTATACACACGGTTCGGTTCCATTAACTAGCCGAAGACTTTGATCTTTCAGTCAGCTGTGATAGTATACTGTCTTACTATACATCAATCGAATTCTGTTTCCCCACCCTAGTAAACTAAAAATTAGATATGACCATTGACAAATGAAGACTACGAGTGGTTGTAAAATTAATACATCTGATGTGCTGGTAAGTGGTTGTAAATTTTGCGTATGTCATCTCATGTAGAATTGTCGTTTAATTAAACGTGTTTTAACTCTTGCCATTTATCCAATTTTTTCATGTTCAGTTTATGTATTGGTAGCATGTTTTTGTTTTGTTTTTTTTTTTTTTTTATAATTATTTTCCCTTAGGTTTCAACTCTATAATAAGAATCCATACGTATTTGAGGAATTATGTCACAGCTAGAGTTTTTTCATTAAATAGAGGAGATTAAATAAGTGTAATATTTATTAATATACAACTAGCCTTTTGGCCCGTTCGATGCACGGGTTCTTACCTAGGTTATTTCTTCGTTACTCTTAGAAATTTAGGACGACTTCCATGGTAATACAAATTGAAGACTTGGGAAAATGACTTGATGACTTCTAAGACACGGGCCATATCCATATGCATGGTTATTATTTACGATTGTGAAATCTTGGAGAAAAGACTTAACTTGAAGTTGACTTGCAAGTCTTCCCTCCGCCCCGCTAACCACGCTAAAAAAAAATGCTGGACGTGAACTTCATTTAATGTCTTGTAATAATTGAACATTTGAACGACGTAAGTGATACTTTGTTTTTAAGCATTTCAAAATATTTTGTTCAAAGGATATGCCAAATAGAGCCTTAAGCCCATATCTTAATTTACATTTGCTCACTTCCTAATCAAAGTACATATAAATTGGAAGCAATAACACGAAACAAATAGAAATGATTCAACAAAATGGAGAAATGCTATTTGTATAAATCTGAATGTTAAGTACATATGAATGATATGAATGAGATTTGCCTATTTTTGTGTGATGATTAGTAGGTATTAATAGTACGCGATAAATTTCTCAAGGTAATCAAGTAGTTACATTTGTATATAAATAGAATTTTGTAATGGTGGGTGATCCAATATGGTTCATGCATGCATCTTGCACTATTCAACTGAGTAAGCAATTGATATGATTATGATTAAGAATCTGATTAGCTAAGGTTGAAGTGTTGAACAGCTCAAGCAAAGGTTAGAATTTAATAACGCTAGTAGTAGCAGGAAAAGATACATGCTTTAATTAACTAGATTAAACCCTGCATTCGTTCCTCCAGTAAGGATTAATCGACATAATATAATCACAACCGCAAGAAACATAATTACATACACCAGATGCTACAAAGGTGACATAAAAGGTTTCCATGTTGATCCAACCACTATCTTCTTCATCTTGAGATTCATCACTTGTACTGTGGAGGGCTGTTGAAATAATAAATAGAAATGAGAGAAGAGAAAGAATAATAAAGTTTTATTTAATCCATTGAAAAAAGTAGTACATAGCAACATATATAGTGCAAAATAACTAAGCTAAGCTATAAGTAAGGAACAATGATCTTATGATCATTGATCATGCTAACATTAACCCACTAAACTAACCCACTACTATTATAATTCCACTAACACAAACAAATACTTAGTAGAGCATATTCCTATGCATTAGGAGTTAATTAACCACTAACAATTTGAAGCAAATACTCCAACAGCCCGTAATTAAGCCTTACACACTAATTAAAGTAAAATATATAATTTCTGACTGTTATAGATGGTTTCAATCAGTGTGACAAGTCTATTTCATCTCATTTAAACGTTGTTTTTCTTAGAAATTTAGGTTTGTATAAATATTTGGAGTATGAAATCCTAAATCACTTTTTACAAAATGGCTAGCTAATATCGGTTGGGTGCTTTTCATTCTTGTGAGCATACTAATTGGGCTGACTTATACAACTTGGGCTGACTTGTGAATATGGGATTCTTCTTCTTAAATTTTAATGGTTGTTTTGGTTTATTATGGCCCAAAGACAAAGGTTATTTTTCTTTTCATTGTATTAAGCTATTGCTCCCTTGATGCATTACCTTCAATCCAAGCACGCCCTAAAGTTACTAATCCTACTGAACTGACTGCGTGGCTGCTATTGAGTCTTTGGTATTTCCATTATGATCCTGAAATAGATGAATAAATATACATATGATTCTCATAGCTTTTGTATTTTCATTGATGTAATATTGAGGGAAATAGATCAATTAAAATTGTTTATGTAGGACTCCTTATTGTTTTGTATCATGTCATTTGAAGCTAGTGGAATGTTTAGATCAAGAGCTGCCAAGTCTTACAATATGACTATTATATTGTGGTCCGTTTGAAATATGATTATTATAATATTTTAAAGCTTGTTGTTTTGTCAACCATTGGCCTTAACGTTTTCTTCAATTTAAACATTGAATTTAGGGTAATTTGTCTTATCTTTAGCCAATGACAAGCCATTACGAGACTTGCGAAGCTAAATATCTGAAAAAGGAACAAGGCAACATAAGCTTTGGGGTTTGATCGAATGAATATGGCCACAATTTAGGTTCAAGGCTCCCAAACATGGCTTTCACCATTTGTTAATATCTTGGAAAAATGAGTAATATGTCCAAAAAATTTAAATATTAAACTATATTCTATATTATACCATGTGTCACGTATTTTTAGCTTGAGAGAAACTCAGCCAAAAACCTTAACTTCAAACAATTGATAAACTATACTATCTTATATTATACGTGGCATGTGAATTGCGGCATTTATGATAAGCTCGGACAATTTTTGAAATAGATTGATGATTTATTAAGACAACCTAGCTTCCAAATAATATCTTTTTAATTAACTTTGGACCTACTTCAACATTTGCGAATGCTTGGATATAATATTTGGCCAACAATTTTTTAACGGCTAAACTTGCTTACAAACTGCGTGTTAAGTTTTAATATGCCTAGACTTCGAAATAATTTTTAATAACATGGTACGATATTGTATAAATAAGAATTGTAGCAACACCAATTACTTTAGCCAAAAATTTTTGTATACATCCGGTTTACACTAATATTAATGTACATTGAGCAGTATAAGGGTAACTTTTAGCTAATTTTAGGGTAACTTTTTATCTTTTTTTGGGTAACTTTAAACATAATACAATTTTTATATAAATCAACAACAAGAAAAGTTTTATAAAGGTAATTTAATTACATTCAATCACTAATAATTGATTTTTAGTCATTTAAAATGTGATTTTTTACTAATAAAGCGTAGATAATTTTTATTTGAATTGGGTTACTTTAACGCATATTGGAGTAACTTTTATTCATTTCAGGGGTAATTTTTAATCACTTTAGGTTATCTTTATAATGGATGTACAATAATTATTATACACCCGATTTTTTTAAAAGTTTGTGTACTTTAGCACGGCTCATAATGAAGTATGATCTATATTATACGCACAAATAGTTGTCAAAAAATTATCTCACAATTTTGTAAAGGTAAACAATTCTATCACTCGTAGTATTATCTTCATATTTTTTAAAATTCGTCATTTTTGTTAGATAATAGATTTATATATTATCTTGCTAATATTCTGTAAAATATATCTTGCGTAATTAGGGCTCTCATTATTAGGTTGTACATACCTATATATATTGATTAATGAGAATACTCCAGAATTACACACTTCAACATGGTATCGGAGCCAACGTGACATCTCACGGGTTCGAATTTCATGCATGCTCCTAGGGACCTCATCTTAACGCTCTTAAGCGTATTATCAGATATATTAATGGCACTTATGATCATGGCCTTCATTTGTACCGTTCTGCACGTACCAGACTTACTTCCTACACAGATGTCGATTGGGCCGGCTACCCGGACACTCGGCGCTCCACTTCAGGGTATTGTGTTTATTTGGGTGATAATCTGGTTTCATGGTCCGCAAAACGACAGGCTACATTGTCCAAATCAAGTGCCGAAGCAGAATATAAAGGAGTCGCTAATGTTGTTTCTGAATTATGTTGGCTACGAAATCTACTTCTCAAGTTACATTGCCCTGTTCGACGGGCATCCTTGGTTTATTGTGATAATATTTCTGCCGTATACTTATCTTGCAACCCGGTACAACACCAACGTACCAAACACATTGAGATAGATATTCACTTTGTACGTGACAAGGTTGCTCAGGTGAGATCAAGGTCTTACATGTTCCTTCTTCATATTAGTATGCAGATATTTTCACCAAAGGATTACCTCGCCAACTATTCTTAAATTTCAGAGACAGTCTCAGCTAGGGGTGAAAGTTCGGTTTTTGATTTGGTTTTTTGTCCAAACCGAAACCGAACCACCCTAATTCGGTTTCTGGATTTTAGAAACCACACCGCACCACTTTACTTTAGAAACCGAACCAAACCAAACCATATTTATTTCGGTTTCATAAAAAAAAAAAACCGAACCAAACCGAATTTTCATATCAAACATCATAAACATCAAATTTTGCAAAAAAAAAAACCGAACCAAACCCAATCAAAACCGAACCAAACAAAACCAAACCAATCCATACAAACATAATTAAACAAGTTTAAACCTTATTCACCACCCTAACCAAGATCCGCACCCACCGTACCACAACCCACAACCCACCTTATTTCACCACCCTTCATCCTTTTCACCCAAACCCTAACCCTAGATCGACCCAAAAAAGCCAAAACAACCTACTAGTCTACCACCACCGCAATTCAATCACACACCACCATAAAAACAAAGTAGAAAAAAAACTCAAACCAAATTAAAAGAAAGAAAAGGAGGACATACCTCACATTCCACCGAAAAACCTCAAATTTGGGTTTCAAAGGTCAAATTCGACCATCTAGTGTTTTCATGGTCGAATTTGACATGAAACCCCTTTAGTTGATGCCCTTTATTGAGTTCAAACTTCAAAAAACCTCAAAAATTCGTCGAAGGTGATGCAAGTGAAGGTGGAGAAGTGAGAATTGAGAAGAGAAAAGGATAGAGAGTGAAGGGAGAGAAGTGCGAACTGAGAAGAGGAAAGGAGAGAGAGTGAAAAACGACTGAGAAGAGGAGAGGGAGGGTGGAGCCGCGGAGAAGATAGAAGAGGAAAGGAGAGGTGAAATATGAGAATTAGGGTTTTTTTTTCCTTTATATATTTAGGGTTAAATCTGTTGGGCTAGGGTAATTTTTTGGGTTTGGGCCTAATTTCGGTTTGGTTCGGTTTTGTTCGGTTTTTCACTTTCTCAAACCGAAACCGAATCGAAAACCGAAATATTTTTTTTTTCAAAACCAAAACCGAACCACTTTAAAAAAAAAAACCAAACCATATTTGTTATTCAGTTTGGTTTTCGGTTTGGTTCGGTTTTAAACCATTTCACCCCTAGTCTCAGCATTCGTCCTCCTCCCGCTTCGACTGCGGGGAAGTGTTAGATAATAGATTTATATATTATCTTGTTAATATTCTGTAAAATATATGTTGTATAATTAGGGCTCTTATTATTAGGTTATATATATATATATATTGATTAATGAGAATACTCCAACTAAGGAGAATTACACACTTCTACAATTTTTCTATACATATTTTCAGCTATGCATGAATAGAAATATATATCAAATACATTTGCATTAATATAATAATTTAAAACCCTCTAACCATAAATTGGTGATGCCGGCATTGATGTAGTGCATGATTGTGGGGAGTAACAAGCATTATAACTTTTATAAGGTTCGAAATTGGGAGACAAGTGGTATATAATCAAAGATTTATATTGGTAATGTAATCTTATACTATGAGATATTGATAGAATAAAGAGCTTGTCTATTGCTTTATGCAATTATGCTGATAATCAATTTTTTAATGATCGCAACTTGATTCAATCTAATGGAATTTTAAGATTTTTTTTTTATTTTTTTTGGCAACTAATCATTCTTAAGTTAGAACAAATAATCACTTCTCCAAGGGGTGAACAACGCTACAGGTAGACTTTTTTTATGTTTCTTGTTTGGATTGACAGGCTAGCTTAATTGTGTTTGATTTAAATATTACTTTGTAGTTGATTTGAATATCTTAACCCTTTTTTTCTCAAATATATAATATGTAATTATGTACGTATTTTGTATCAAGTGAGTGACTCTCAAACCTTTAAGAATTGTTATGAATTATGATAGTGTCTAAAAAGGAAATATATATTATTATCATAGTATATCGTCTAATTTCAGTGTCAATGATCACTTTAATATTTCAATTCCCCAAACTCCTCTCTATATGATAAAACATACTTTGCATATATATATTTCATTTATTATATCTCATATTTGAAACATATCTCTAACTCGTCATTGCATCTCTCATTGGAAAAAAATTGTATACTCATACATGATTTACATCAAATTTATTTACATTTCTTATTACAAACAATTTCAATATTAATGAACTTCATTAGTCCAAGCATCAATCGGCCACACTCAATTTGAAGAGCTTTTTATACAACTAATACAAGTACTAGTAGCCAACTAGCCGTTAGGCCCGTTACATGCTTGAATGTATGAAAGAGTGGTCTACCACATTTTGCATTACAATTTTACAATTGTTTTATGTTGTCACGTTGATCTGGCCTTTTGAGTCTTTAATCTTTACATTGTGGGAATATCTTCTTTTTATATATATAAATATAAATATATATATATATATAAATATATATATATATATATATATATATATATATATATATATATATATATATATATATATATATATATATATATATATATATATATATATATATATATATATATATATATATATAACCAAATATAACGAAAGTGACAGAAAGATATTCTACCAAAAAAAAAAAGCAGTAGGAAAAGGTGAGAGCTCATGAAATGATCATATAAAAACAATAATTTTGATGGCTTAATTTAAATACTCGTATAAAGAACCAGAATTCGAATTTAAGAAAGAAAAAAAAAAGTGGCAGAATCTTTGCTCAACAAATGACCATCAAACAGCATAACACGTTTCTAAGTAGCTTATTCGGTCATAATTCAGTGATTAATTAAGAGAAAGACCCGGGTTTGAAGTTAATTATATATTAAGCCTAATTGACAATCTTATTCTATACAAAAAATATATCATCTCTCGATAACCATGTGATAGCTCTGATGAGCTTCTTGTTTGGTTCTATTCCATTTTCAAAAAAAAAAACATTTATTCCCTTACATGAATTACCACCTACTTATTTAATTGGAAGAAAATTTTATGAAGTTGAGTTGGAACTTTGGAGTTTGGATGGATAATTAAATTGTTAAATACGTCTTGTTTCAAAAATTGATGTATACATCGTCAATGAAAGAGTTTTACCAGATTATCATATTCATATAGTGAAAACATTAATACACAAGGTTACCCCGACTTTTCAATATATTGAGACTTCGAAAAAAAAATCTTCACTACTTGTACGTACTTTGATCTGGATTATAATATATATATATTACTATTTTTTAAAATTATTATATTACTATTTATTTAATAATTGAATTAAAAGAAAAGAAGTGAGAATTGTTTTTAATTTGTATATAGGGTGTTTTTTTTTTTTTTTTTTTTGAATAGGGGTGTTTTTATACAATTAACTTGAAAGATTACTTAGAACATAACTCACTCTTTGGTTAAGTAACAAAACTAGTTTACTAATGCCTACACAAGTATAAATGTTGAAGTTAAAGCAACTCTAAAGTAACCTTGGCTTCCGGATATAGTAACAGTGCAATTTAGGAGCTTTCTTAACCATTATTAGTACCTACTTTGCATAAAATTAAACGTGACATCTCTAAATATGAGAATATTTCTTCAAAAACTTATGTTTTTACCTACATTTCTTTGACTTTGGAGGTTCGACAGCAAGGAGGTTTCACTAATTATTGGCATCAACTACTTATTATTTTATTGAATATTTGTATACGAGTACCAACTTCACCTAATGAATCCAAAAATGCTCCATTTTTATGATAATTATTACTTTGAAGAAGCAAATTTTTTGTGTTATTCAACGTGTATGCAAATACTGTTCTGATACATGGAACGAAGTATTAATTAGTACGATGTGGAAATTGTGGATGTTATACCGCCAAAATGGTATTTCAATGAGTAATTTATTTCTTAACTTCTGATAATCTACACACAATATTTTATACTATGAACTTAGTAGTTTATTAATTAAAAGTTAAAAAAATTACATTAAGGCCTAATAATTTAGTAGTACTACATTCTCCTTAATGATACTCGTCAATCATCATTTTAGGAAAATTAATTCTTTTATATGATAATTCAGAAAAAGTGATAATAATGTCGTAATTAAATCCACAACAATAACAAGGCCTAATTATTTCATATTAGTATAACTGTATAAGTACATATAAATTCGGACACAGGATCTGTTTTCATACGTTTATTTTCAGTTCAATTTAGTTCAGTTCAGTTCAGCTCCTAATTTCCTTCTCTTATAAAGTAATTTCAAGTAAATTCAAATTAGTCTAGTTGTATAGATAATAATGAAAATAAAACAATTGAATATAGCACACACCATCAAATTAGAATCAACTCATATACTACTATATAAGATGTTAATTTGAGAATTTAATTGGAAGAACAACAACAAATCAATATAGATATGAGAAATATTAGCAATAATAAAATGCACTATAGCAAATATATTCAATTAGACGCTCAATTAGCTTTTCTTTAGCTTTTTTAGAGATCTAGCAAATCTACCAATTATTAAAGCTTTGAAGATATACATATTAACGTTGTATAATAGGCTACTTTAATCAACTTAGCTCTTTTCTCAAAATTATTTAACATAATATCATCATGTTTTTTTTTTCTATCATCAACACGGAAACGCGTCTTAAGAACATAAAATCAAGACAGATATTAATTACCAATATACTATGCAAAATACACATTTCTTTTCTTTTCAGAAAACACCCAAAAACAAAACAAAAAAAACGAAAACATAAAACACCAATTAACTACCCACAACATAGCACATACATTGCCATTTTCCTCATTTCTTGTTCTTGTTCTTCTCTTTCTCTCTCCTCCTCTGTTTCTCTCTTTCTCTCTCTAAGAAAACAAACAAAAAAAAGAAAAAAAAAATTCAAAGCTTTCTAAATAATGTCATATGTAAACAGATCAATTCTCATATTCTTCACCCTTTTATTCTTTTTCTTCACATTTTCCAATGCATTTCAAGATTTGGGTTCTTCTTCTTCCTCTCAAGGTTTGCACACTTTCACTCTTTCTTTCACTATTCTCTCTCAAAAATTTGAAATTTAGAAGATTTTCACTTCTATTTTTAGTTTATATCATGCAATTTTCAATCTTTTTAATGATTTGGGTTTTTAATTAAATTAAATTTAATGTATACAGGGGTAATTAATAATAGGAGGTCTGTTGCTGAAAATACAACAGAAGGAAATTCTTCATTGAAATTGGCTGCTCACAACACTTACAGAAGGGACCCACTTAATCATTTTCATCGCTACACTGGTGGTTGGAATATCACCGATAAACATTACTGGGCTGTTAGTATTTCTTTCTTTCTTTTTATTATCTATTTAATTTTTGTTTTTTTCCTGCCCTTTTTTTTTTTTTAATGATTAATTTCTGGGTCACTGGGTTTAATTATTATATTGGTGTATTTTGGATTATAAAGTTGAAATTTTTGTTAATTTTATGAGGTTTTGGTATGGCATGATTTTAATTTAGGTTATTTTAGCTGTAGAATTTCATAATGGAGTATAATCATCTGTTTTCTTGAAATTGTCTAGGTTGTTTGCTGAGTCTTTATGAAATTTACCAATTTTTTTGGGATTAAGTTTGATTATTTGCAGTTAAAATAATGGGTATTAGATTAAATTTCAATTTTTTTAATATAAATTGTGAAGTTGATGTATTTGTTGCCTGCACGTTTTCTTGTATGGTACTTGAATTTGAATATTGGCTTGTTGGTGGAGTGAATTGTGTTATTTAGTAGTTTATTAATTTGTCCGAAGATTTGGATTATGGATTTCAGCTTCATTGTGAAGTTTGGTTCATGGTTTCCTTATTGAAATTTCCAGATTAAGTGTAATGTGGTTTGCTGCTTGTTTTCATTTTACAATTTTGCTTCAATGTGTCTTGATTTTTAATTTCTTGCACAATGTGTTGTATCCTTATGTTTTGTGTGGCCTTAATTTTGTTATGATTCTTGTATTTATCGATGTTCAGTTTTTTCTACCTGTTGAGTGCTATTTAATTGCAGTTTTGATGGGTTCTCTATGTCGTTCCACTGCTGACATTTTCGTGTTACTTAATGCAGTCTGTGGCTTTCACAGCAGTCCCATTCTTCGTTGTTGCTCTAGTGTGGTTTTTGATTTTTGGGTTAAGTTTGATATGCACCTGCCTATACTTCTGCTGTTGTCGAAAAGCTCCTTATGGGTATTCTCGAGTCTGTTATGCACTTTCGCTCATTTGCCTGGTACTTTTCACCATTGCTGCTATGTAAGTATTCCAAGTAACCCTTTTCTTTATTTTCTTGTCTCTAAGTATCGACTCTAATTGGGAAAAAACTATAACATAGTTGTAATGTACTCAGTACAAAGGTTAGAAATCTTTGTACTGACAAAACAGTTGATACAATTGAAAGTGTTTATTGTCTCAAAAGTTGTTTGTTTTAGCTAGTTAGGCTGCGATGATTGTTAACCATGGAAATTTTGTATCAGACTAATAAAAGCACAGATTGTTTTGGTTGATTTAATTCTAGAACTTTGCTATGAATGTGACTGAACTCAAAATTATAAAGTTTGTGCTTATTGGTAGAATCTCAAAATAAAATTATGTTTTTTGAGATAGAAGTTTTGAGTATCTGGGGATTTTACTCTTGCCACTATTTTTCAACAACTGCACCTACATGTCTATAATGGCCACTGTTTCTGATGGCCAAACACCTACGACGGTCACATGTGCTATGAATTGTGAAGCCTTTTTCCCCTCGTTGCCAAGTAGAATTAAAAAAAATGTTATATTTGCCCTTTTATTTCTTCCTTCATAACTAATTTACAAATCTAAAGTTGAAGCTCTTCTTGATTTATTCACCTCCCTCAGTGTTGCTACTGGCCAGTGTTGATTAGATATGTAGATCTTGTATAATTCCCATTTCCAGTCTATTATACATGACATGAATTGTATGTTTTGTTACTGCCGCAGTATTGGTTGTATATTTCTCTATACTGGCCAGCAAAAGTTCCATAATAGTACCGCAACGACACTGCGTTATGTTGTAGATCAAGCAAATTATACTGTTGAAAACCTTAACAATGTCTCACATTATCTCGACGAGGCAAAAAACATTGGTGTGGGGCAGATGAGGCTACCAGAAACTCTCCAGAACAAGATCAGTGATATTCAGACGAAGATGAGTTCTGCTGCCAATACTCTTGAATCGCGAACCAATGAAAACTCTAAAAAAATTCGGCGGGTCTTAGATTTTGTGTAAGGCTCTTGCATTGTCTCTGATACTGATTTTGATTTTTGTGTTTTGTACGTTATTGACTCTGGCTGTTACACTCACTGTAGGAGATTAGCCCTGATTATTCTTGCAGCAGTAATGCTTTTACTGGCATTTGTCGGATTCTGTGAGTTACACTGCTGTCTCTTTTGGACTTTGATTTCCCTGACACTCTTGGCTATCATAATCTAATTATCAACTATGTTTTCTGGTTGCAGTGCTGTCAATTTTTGGAGTGCAATGTCTCGTGTACACGTATGCTTCTTCTTCTTTTTCTGCTGTATTTTTTTTCTTCATTTTGGCATTGGTGTCTGTTGTTCTAATTTAGTTTCTTTCTCACTTGCTTTGTGTCTTGTATATGATTGCAGACTGGTCATTGTAGGTTGGCTTCTGGTGACAATAACATTCATCTTATGCGGAGTTTTTCTTGTCCTCCACAAGTAAGTTTGACTGTAAAGTTTCTCATGTTTTATTGGGATGAATTGCGACTTTGTGTTATCCACTCGTTGGCACAAAGTAATAATTTAGGACTCTTATTTAGTGACTGATGTGTTGAATGAAATTGAGTGTCAGCTTTAGTGTGCTTGTAATGCGTTCTGGACTGTGCTGTTTGTCAAATGATTGCATTATTGTTTTGTTCAATATCCAGTTTTAAACTTCTATGTTTCTTATGAATGCATAGTGCTATCTTGAATGACTTCATCAGAACTTGTGCTTTGCACTTACTGCATTGTATTTGCGAAGCTGATATCACCTAGATAAATGTTAGATTTGTTCTATTCTCCTGCTGTTGTTGTTGTCTTGACTTAAGTGGGTATGTTTGTGGCTTAAATTTGGCTTCTATAGCTGTTTTCATGAAAAATTCCTTGAAGATTGCGTCTTCATGGACATTTTCAACGGTCTCCAAGATGTATATATTCCTGACCAATCATTTTCATTTGTTTAAGGAGATAGTGGCTTGGTAATTTGCTTTGCATTTTTATCAAAGAAAAATATGACTATGGAAGCGTGAAAATAACACAAGCACAATAGTCAGATTCCATGTCATGCCGGAATACATGAGATATATAAATTATTTCGTGAATGAAATTATAGAAAAGAAGGTGCTTATATCTAATACCCCCTTCCTCTAGAAATAAATCAGAGAATAGAAAATACTTTAACTTTGCAACAGTATGATGGCTGGTTTATAACTTTTGAATGGGAAAAGAGTGGCAAAGAGAGCCCAGAAGCAAGTTCTTTTTCCAAACATAAATCAGTATTGCTTATCTCTTGCATTTTTATATGCTGGGAGGGGAGTTGCATGAAGATATCATTTTTTGGGTCGAGAACAAAAATTTAGGTACACAGGTTGGACAAGATAAATCTCTGAAGAGGTTACTCTTTATGTATACATTTTTTGGTTATTCACATTAGTGTATAAAAGGTATAAAATGCAAGTATTAATGTGTAGGTATGAAGTCTGACTATATTGTGGTTTATATTGTGGTTTTACCAGTGTGGTTGCAGATACTTGTATTTCCATGGATCAGTGGGTCCAAAACCCAACATCACACACAGCCTTGGATGACATCTTGCCTTGTGTGGATAACGCAACTGCACAAGAAACTTTGTTACGATCCAAAGAAGTTACTAGTCAACTAGTTGGCTTGGTCAACTTGGTGATTGGCAATATTGCTAACACTAATGTACCTCCCAATACTCCTCCACCATTGTACTTCAACCAATCAGGTCCATCGGTGCCTAATCTTTGCAACCCATATAACTCAAATCTGTCTAATCGCACATGTGCATCGGGTGAAGTTAACTTCAACAATGCATCCCAGGTAAGAATACTTAATGCACCTCTTCGCTTCCCTTCCAAAATCTCCCACAAAAGCCCTCTGTAATTAGTGTAGTTTTTATTCAAATAATCTAATATGGAACTTCAGTTTAGTTCTTTTTCCTAAGTATATGAATAATATGCAGACAAAAACAAAAGTCTGCTGGTGAAATAGGCCCTGAGTGCACAGGACTTTGCATCAGGAGCTGTCTTTTATTTATTAATATGGTCATCTTCAAAACATAAAATATATCGTGTTATGATCTGAGGATGTTTTTTTTCTATCATATAGGTGTGGAAGAACTATGTCTGCGAGATTAAAAAAGTGAGCGGCAATGAGATTTGTACCACAACAGGACGGTTAACACCTACAATGTATAGCCAGATGAATTCAGCAGAAAATGTGGGCTATGCTTTGAATCATTACACGCCATTCTTGGTTAATCTTCAGGACTGTACTTTTGTGCGCAGCACTTTTAGCTACTTCAGTGCCAACCACTGCCCTGGATTGAGGAAATACACCCAATGGATTTATATTGGTCTGGTGTTGGTGTCTGCTGCTGTTATGTTTTCTTTGATCTTCTGGGTTATCTATGCCAGGGAGCGAAGGCATCGTGTCTATACCAAGCAATTCATGGCTGGCCACTAAAAAACCTTCTAATATGCTCTAGGGGGAGGCAGAACTGCAGGAGATATTCGAGTTGGATATTGTTCATTCTTTTGTGTATACAGATGTAGTGTGCGAGAGTTCTTTGTACATTATTGTCATTCGTATTTTCAGACCTAGATGGACATTTATGTGAGTATATGTTAGAAATAGATACAAATGTCTCATCATTTCCTGGTATTGCAGTTTGTTGCTGTATGACAGTATGAGGCTTTGTATTGAGACATATTGATACTACGGAATTGTACTAGGGAGAGAATTAGCTGCTAATCGTACATCTGTTAATGTTTTTAGTGTTCATTATAATTCTTTAATGTCATTTTTCTTTGTGTAAACACTTTTTGAATCCATACATGGTTTTACCTGCCTTCAGTTAATGGTTGTGCTTGTGCCTGTGTGATCTTATTGTACCTTGGTTGGCCTATTTCTATTTCTTCAAGTATGCTGTCACGGAATTGGTCATGGTCATACATCGGCTCCATTTTGTTGTCACATTATTAATTCAAATTATAATGAAAAATGTCAATTACTTGGAATACTACTTTACTGAGTTTGTTATGATACATTTGGTGGAAATGCTTAGAATGAACTCTTGCTTAAGAAAAGTACTCAACCATTCACATACCTGAAAAGACCAATTAGTGATACAGAAAGTGTTTTAGCCCAATGCTAAATAGTACAGAACGTAAGAAGGATAGGGACAGAGTGAACCATATTTTGGGCCCATGATAGGAATACGGATACAATACCTATACATACGTATAGTAAAACAAAAGATGAAAGATAACACGAGAAAATGAAATGTTATTAAAAAAAATTATTCAATTAATAAAATCATGAGGACCCTGACTAGACCTTAAGTATATTAAAATTAATACGCGACTTACATAAATATGCGACAAATTGAATAGAGTTCAAAGTTGTATTCAAATATTAGGGGTAAGCAAAACAGGCACTTTAATTTGTGGTTGAATTATTTGGTAATATGTCATCATCAAAGTGGCATAGTGTAGTTCCTAGAATTGGTTTGCTTTGCCGACTTATATACCTGTTCACTGCACTGAAACGTCCATTTGTAATAATAGTATATATGAACGAAACTTCTTAACTTTAGAATTTGTATAAGAAAACAACTTATAACTAATGTAAGTCACTGCCACAGACAAAAGGCACCCAAAGCCGACATCTTTAGATGTTATTAAACTTCATCAAGTTTGATTACTTGCCCAAATTGGCTACTTTCAAAGCATTAATAAATGCATATATGGAAAACACTTCATGATATTGTTCTCACGACACTGATTCGGTTTAATTAATTGGTTCTAGGTGACTTGTCATATTATTGAAAGCCTTAGATAATATATTGTAACGTTGATGATAAAGTTAGAGCTACTCAATCAATAATTCAAATCATGCATTGCCGCATTGGTGAATTTTAACACAAAGTAGTTATTATACATTTTTGCTTTGATAAATGGATCAACAAGTGATTAGAGAACAAGTTAATGGGGTGGCCAAAATATAATGTTTTAGGCCTTTTTTGAAGATATTTCTGATGTCTCAACTTATTAGGCTTGTAAAGAGGCAGACAAAATCAAAGATATTTATTTTGTTATACTCGTACAATAATTAGACTTTTAGTTTATAGAATGCATTGGAAAACTTTATTGTGCCAAAATACTACCTCCGTTAATTATTATGTGCAATAAAGGGGTATTATTTGAGAGACATAAAATATTCCTTTGTTGCAAATAATAATTAACGGAGATATTATAATGTTTTAGGCTTCAATACTCTGAAGATATTTCTAGTACTTTGGAGTAGTAAACTAGCCAGATAATTACAACGTAATATATCATACCGCAAACATAGGTAAGGTTTTATGTGAATCACACATTATACCATCCCAAAAATAATGTAAATAATCTATCACCAACTAAATTTATTTATCGTTCCAAAATTTCTATGCATGGCATCCAAAACCGGATGCTCATGTTCTCCAACCAAGCACCCTGGTTCATTTCGATGCCATTTGCACCGAAATTTCAATTGTAATTCTAATTCCAAGTCCAAAACCATTGCCATTGCCAATAATGCCAATGCGAATATTAATGATGCCGCTTCCATTTCCAACCTTACAAACTCAACGAGGATTATAACTCGAAATGTAAGTCATAAAATCGGAATTCTAACAAAAGGAAATAATTATTCGTCGAAAAATGTGATTCTCCTTCAAGTTATTCTTAACCCATCGAGGCATGATCGTCGAAGGAGGACGAACTTTGAACCCAAGCCTACCAGGTTTTTTCTCATGAATTGAAGTTCAGATAATATTAATTTAACATATGATCTTCTTGCCTAATAATTCGAAATCATTAGCTAGTATCACCTTGGTGTTCATGGAATGTAATTATTGTAATTATTGTAATTGGTAATGTATGTAGTTTGTTCTTGCTAGAAGATGGCACTTTTAATATATGGAGCCACTTTAAGGAAAGAAACTGTACGATTAGATTATGGCAATTATGAATGATATCATATACGTAGTAGTTTATTGTATATATCATCCAACAACAATTAATAAAGTTGGAAGTATTTCATATATTCGTGGATTTTTGGAATATGTTTAAGCATTTTAAGTTGCATAAGTATATTATTTTCATAACTTTTTCCTACTTTTACATAAATGTCTTAATGAGATTAATGTATACTCCTTAGCAATTTTATATATTTTTTTCAATTTCGAGAAAATATAATTAACGAATGTTTTAAAAATTAATATGTGGTTAAATTAAATATATGGTGTACCAAGTTCATTCAAAATAAATTTTAAAAAATAAGTTCAAGTAAACTTTGCACAAAGCCTCAAATATTATCTTAAAGGCAAGTAAGGATAATTTTAGTAAGAACAATTTTTCCAACAAAGTGATGAAAATCAATTTCATAATTTTGTGCACGTCAAACATCTCCTTTGACGAGGGCCATGAAATACAATTTCAATTTTCAATACTCCATGGTAAGGCGATAACCCATAAAATTATAAGGATTATATTAGGGTTACATCAATGTGGCGATATTAACAAAGATTATTTCACAGTATATCGAATAGCTGACATAGGTGAATTAAACATAAGCTAATGGATACATCATATCAAAACATCTACGTAGTTGTAGTTATAGTTACATTATTCAATATTACATTATTCAGTGTACACCCATGAGCCATGACCCAATGCATTGTTGTAAGGCCTAGAAGCATACATATATAAAAATACCCAAATTAAACTGCCCCATGCATGAATAATTTCATTGACTACACATCTACAAATCAACATGTGGGCCAAATATTTAGAAAATATTGACACCAAACCAAATTTATAGTCTTAGTAACGTAACTAATTTTTATAAACCCAACTAATTAATTAAGTCCAAAATCTTAATAACTAACTATAAATCCTCATAAACCGCCACCTTTCCGCAGTTTGCCGCACTTATAAATAGAACCTCCAAAAAACTTGGCTAACTCAAAGCTTTTATAGTTTACAACAACATAAATTTACAAGGTATTTCAATTCCTTTTCCCATTATATTCCTAATTTACCACCTTCAAGTAATAATACTAACAATAATGTCAAGAAGAAAAGGAAAGAATTCAAATCCCAACCATTCCAATTCCAAACACACTTGTCTTTGTTCTCCAACCACTCACCCTGGTTCATTCCGCTGCCACTTACATCGCAATTCCCATTCCCATTCCCTTTCCCATTCCAAGAATAAAAGGATTATTTCGAATAATAATTATTGGGAATTAGCAGTAATGGCAAAGGCTAATTCTTTGAAAGCCTTTTTTCTTTAGATTATTAAATCATCAAGTCATCATCTTCAAAGAAAAGGGAGTTTTCAACCTAAACCCTCCAGGTTTTTTTTCCTTAATCATCATAATTATCATCATCATCGCCATCATGGCCGCCTTCCTGTTTCTTAATCTTGTTATTTATATGAGATATGATCAATATCGGATTTATATGACATGGTTATATTGGAAAATATTAAATGTATTATTTTTTTCGATGTTGATTGTATCTCATATCTCTAACAATTGCACCAAATATATATATATATATATATATATATATATATATATATATATATATATATAACATAATTTTATTTTATTAATGATCTTATATCATTTTTAAATAAAATAAAGAAATGGTCTATTTTTAGGGTTTTCATGTTCTTTAGTAAATCTTGGGGAAATATATATATATATATATATATATATATATATATATATATATATATATATATATATATATATATATATATATATATATATATATATATATATATATATATATATATATATTGAAAGGAGGGAAATATATATACTTGCATGGGAGATTGTAAATATGTAACTCTTTTGGGGTTGTGCCTAGGTTTTTTTTTTAGTAAGGCACACATAATAATGTAATTTATTATGATATATAATTCCCTCTTTTTATTTTAAAAGGCATAAATAAGAATTTAGTCATGCTTATATTACTATACCAAGTGTGTTTTTGATTGTAGAATTGATAATATATTAATAAGATTTACTTAATATAAGAGGGAGGTTCAATTTGATTCCCAATTGTTTATTTGATTGTGTTTCGATATTATTTTTATAAAGTATGTTAGTTTACATTTTATTTCAACTACTATACTTTTAGTTCGTTATGAAAAATGAATGTGTGAATTATAAATTCATATGTTCCTCCCTTTTAGACCGAAGAAGATTCTCTCCAATTACTATTTGCTTGTTGGATCTTCAAGGCATTCAAAGAGCATGTTATAACTCATGCACACCCAATGAAAGGAGTCAAAAACTCATATCATAAGTATATGCTTAAAATAAGTATATGCTAAAAAGTAGTGTGTATGTAGCTAATAAATTAATTAAGATTTAGGTCGATCGATTGATCAAGTCATAACTTTATTGATTTAGAATCTACTTTGCACCCAATTCCATAAGAACATGCCAAGAAAGATGCACTAATATTGTAATATGAGCTTTGTTGAGTTATTAATTGTAATTAAATCCGTGTGAAATGGAACTTTGGAATTAGTTTATTTAATCAAAAGGTAGGTATTAGAAAGCAAGAGAAAAAGAAACAAAAAAATGGAAGGTTAGGAAGCTTAATTAGTTAGCTTTGCAAAGAAAGCAGTAGGGAAGAAGCTAAATGATCTGATTTGCGAATGTCATTGATTATTTATTTGTTTATAAGTGCCATATCTAATATATATCTCTTTTATGCATGAAAGTAAAGTTAGATCTCAACTTTTCCATGAAATCGCATTATAATTATGAAGGTGGTTTCTTGTGTAATCA